AGGCGAACAAGACAAATGCCTAGTAGTAACACTATGTGATGTAAGCGATGACAGAGATATCTGAATGTCTCCATGACAATGAGGCTGCCTCTGATTCTTATCATTAGGCTGTTATGCAGACTAGTTATTAATGTTTACGGAGTGGTTTGAATTCTAAAATACATATTAAACAAATATCAAATGTGAGGTGTGTTCGCTTCAAGAAACCAGCGCTTTAGCATATTCAGAAACAAGAGGCTTGGAGAGACAAATTCAGACTTCACCAATGCCACAGTTCCTGCGTCAACTTACTTCCTGCTGTTACCATTTTTTCAACAAGACACGATGTGGGAAACAAGGCTATTATTTCTTATATATTTGTGACAGATTCTTATTTGTACTTTTTAGCCCACAAGAAAACAAATATTTCACACAATGTTGGAATTTAATAAATATGCAGTTTATGAATTTTGTGGGCATACTTTGAAATTTCACAGTTGTGCTGGAGAGCTCTCCTTTCCAACTACATACACTATTTTTGCAGCAAACCAGCAACCATCCTATGTTCTTTTTTTTAATATATATATTTTTTATTGATTTCAGAAAAGAAGGGAGGGGAAAAGAGAGATAGAAACATCAATGATGAGAGAAAATCACTATCAGCTGCCTCCTGCATGCCCCCCATTGGGAACCGAGCCCACAACCCGGGCATGTGCCCTTGACCGGAATCGAACCCGGGATCTTTCAGTCCGCAGGCTGATGCTCTAGCCACTGAGCCAAACTAGCCAGGGCAGCCATCCTATGTTCCCAATGCCAATGTGGTGTCTGAAAGGTAAATCTGCTTTGGGTGAAGGATGCCCTAGAAGGCCAGGAGGACAGAGGCCAGGGACTGGAGCTTGGTCATGACAGAAAAGGCAGTGCTATGAGCGAGGGCAGAGACATGAGCACTGGGAGGTAAGGAAGGCCAGACAGCCGGGAAGAGGCCAATGACAGAGGAAACATGGGAGACACCGAACTAAGAGCCACTAAGTGAAGACAATTGGCAAGGAGCGCAGAGTGCAGGAGTGGGGACTTGGGAGCTATCTGGAAATCTGCTCCCACGTGGAAGAGAACTGCTGTCTGAAGGACCAGAGGGAAGCAGCTGTGGCTCACTGGGATCTGAGGAAGAGAAATCAGGCAGAAGGAAGACTTGTCCTAAGCAGGAGCTGGACTTGCTAAATCAGTCCTTTCTTTTGCTCAACGGTGAATCACTTTGCATCAATCTTCTCTTCGGATACTTTATTATACTATGAAGTATAAGTTATATACTTAGAAAGGACCTTGGAAGCCATCTAGTGATCTAGGAACACAATGGCTGAATAAATGATGATGCTGATTACCCATTAAGGGCCAAAAGAGGATGGGAAAGGTCCCTGAAGAGGGTAGGGGGAGGGCCCAGTTTACCACAGCTATAGCCAAAGGAAGGAATATCCCTCAGATGATGGTGGCAAAAATGAAGCAGCCTTTAATTATCTGGAAATGACAACATAGACTAATAGAGTCCACATTTCTCTCTTTCCATCTGGAGACAACCTACTTTATCATTTAGTAGAAGCCAATGTAGGAAAATGAAAGCATCTCAAAGCCAAAAGAGAATTAGAAGCCATGAGCATTCAGATGAGAAGAAATGAACGAGCTTGAGAAAACAGACCCCGGCTGAGGCAGCGACCCTGGTGGAAGGACTCCTTAGGAGACAGCCACCTGGGCTGCGCAAAGGTGCCCTTCCTCATGGTCCTGGGATGTTTGCTCTCGTCTGAGTTGGACTTAAATTCGAGTTTCATTTGGGTTAACAAATAATGTCTTTTCAAAATGTAAATCTCTCTAGGATGGGTGAAGAATTGTGACTCATACAGTTGTGTGAATTAATGCCATGCAGGTGATTATTTAAATGTTTAACAATAGCTATACTAGCGACAGTGACCAGTATTGGGTCAAAGCAGAGCCCGAGGGGCCCCGTGCTGCCGGGTCACAGAGGTCCCTGAGACCCCGTAGTGAGGGGAGGGCCTACACACAGGAGGGGACTGAGGAAGTGGCTAGTTACCAACCATCACCCAAATATTTGATATTTAACAACCAGCACACTTCTGGTATATGCTGGTAGAACACCATCCTGATTCCACAGATCTTTTCATCCTAATAGCTGGGTTATGTAACAGAAAGAGGATTCTGATGAAGAGAGGAGGGAGATAGAGAGGATACCATTCTGAAGGGCAGTGAACACCAGGGGAGAAAGAAGGCAGGAAATATAAAAATGAATAGAAAAATTTTATCCACAAAAATTTTCTCTCCTTTCCCTCCTCCTCTTCTTCCTAACCACAGGCCTCCTGTCGCCAGGGCCCCTCATCATACTAAAGTTAGGCTCCAGGTCAGTTCCCTGAAGACCAATCTGTCATACTGACCATATTTATTGGTTTTCCAAAAATCATTCATAGACTTCACATCTTTTGAATGTGTTGGGCTGGCAGGGGTAAGAAGACTGGGAGCTGGGGATGCGGGGGACTGGAGCCCCCTGGCTCTCTTCCTGCCCCGTCTATCCTCTTTGCCCTCAGGCTCACCCTCTGCTCCTGGTCTTCTCCCGGGGAGCCCCTCCGCCTCCCCTTCTCCAGGGCTGAGGCCTGAGCCGAGCCGTGTGCTGACTAACACACGCAGTCTGTCCTTCGCAGGGAAGGCCCCTGTTCTCTGTCCCAGCTCCGACCTCCTGCCGCAGCCTCGGAGCACTGGCGCGGAGATAAAACGAACATTCCTTAAAATGCTGACACCGCCAAAACAGTCACAAGCTGTTCAAAGCCATCTAATTAGAACTGTTACAAACTTTCCAGTTAAACACGTGTGTGTTTGGTTTTTAATGACAATTGACAAATTTAGTTAATTTGGCAAAGCTTAATTAACAAAAGTAGAAATAGCCTAAAATGCCAAATGTAGGAAAAAATTTTAAAAGGATTTTTAAAAAGGATCAGAAAGAAATCCATATAAATAGAAAAATTCCCATAGGAAATGCTGATTTTGGCAACATTCAGAAGAAAAATATGTTTGTCAGTGGACTAAATTTTTTTTAGGATCTTTCAACAAATTGAACATTTCATAAAAATGCATGAAGCAGGAGGATGTAAAGAGAAAGTGCTAGGTGGCATTCCCACCTAAAGTCATTCAAGCACATTTCACATGCGGACAAATGGTCTGTTAGAAGGTTCCGATTCACACACATCCTCCCTGATCCACGGGGACACGTTCCAAGACCCCCATGGATGCCTGGAACCGAGGACAGCACCAAACCCTCTATGCACTATGTTCTTCTACACACACCTTTTCACGTAAAGGAAGCACTTTCCGCTCCTCTTTGGCATATCGGAATGGCGGGCATCCCTACTCTTGTGCTCTGGGGCCATTATTAGGTAAAAGAAGGGTGACTTGAACACAAGCGCTGCAATACTGGGGCAGTCAATCTGATAATCCTAATGGCTACTGACTAATGGGCGGGGCATATACAACATGGAGACAGAGGGATGATGGATGTCCTGGTGGGCTGGAGCAGAGTGGCAGGAGATTTCATCACGCTACTCAGAACGGTGGCACAATTTAACACTTAGGAAGTGTCTACTTTTGGAATTTTCCATTTAATGCTTTGGGACAACTCTTGACCATGGGTAACTGAAACAGTGGAAAGCAAGCCTGCAGGTATGTGGTCAGAACGCTCTACGATACCACATGTGACAGGCACTGGAAAACCTGTGCGAGGTAACAGTAACCTATGAAACAAGCACCTAACGCAGGAAAGCAAGCTTCGGTCAGGGTGACTGGGTATCTTCAACTGTATACAAAGATATATATTTATCTTCAGATACACATGAACTCAATAAACATGTATATATGTGTGTCAAATGTCAAATTCTTAATACTTGTCATAGAAATGAACTTTAAACATATTTCAATAATTAGGATATTTTAGAGAAAGGACAACTACAAATAATAGTTATATTTTTATAGTTTGAATTATATATTTTTTAAATAATTAGAATACCTGGTTTTTAATTGACCAAAATATAATGTAATAAACACTAAAAGGAGTTGTTTAATTAAAAAAAATTCTTACAGTCCTAGCTGGTTTGGCTCAGTGGATAAAGCATCAACCTGCGGACCAAAGAGTCCCAGGTTCAATTCCAGTCAAAGGCATATGCCTGAGTTGCGGGCTCGATCCCCAGAAGGGAGCGTGCAGGAGGCAGCCAATCAATGATTCTCCCTCATCATTGATGTTTCTATTTCTCTCTCCCTCTCCCTTACTCTATGAAATTAATTTAAAAAATATACATATGTATATATCTATGTGTGTGTGTATAAATATATATAAAATTCTTATATAAAGGATTCTTTTTTTTAGCAACATTTGACAGAATGGCATTCTAGCATCCTAGAAAAAAAAAACTAATCCTGCAAATAAGATACATAAAAATTTAGAAAGGTTCCACATAAAAATATCATGTTTTTATGGAACTAAACTTTATATTAAATTTTTAAATTTGCACTTTGAAAAAACATGTATAGACTTTAATTTTATTCTTATAATTTCTGATCAACTGTCCCAAAAATTAAAATTAAACTCCCATAATTCTCATACCATATTGCCCCCAAAGGGGTCTGTAACTTGCTTATGTTACATTTTGTGGCAAATTTAATACATCTTTCCCAACCCTCAGGGTCATAAAGATAGCCTCCTGTATTTTCCTCTGAAGTTGGATTCTACTTAACTTGTTTTTCTAAGGAACTGAACAGTGAGGCACTGATATTAACTGTTGGAAGATACAAGCCACGGCTGCAGCCTCCTTCCATCTGTTATTTTTTGGTTCTAAGCAGTTTTTCAGCTTTATGTGGAGGCTAGCTTTCAATAGCACAAATAACTGAAGATTTCTATTTAAAACAATATACAATAAAGTTATAGATTCAGGACATTAAAAAATAGAAAAGGATAAGTCATATAATCGTCTTACATGAGTGAACAAAACTTCATCCTTGAGCTCCTCCGAACTCTCATTGGGAGTCCAAGCTTCAGCAAACTGCAGGAAATCCCATTTTTCCTTCTCCCCTTCCTCAGCCTGAAGTCGCTCCTTCCTACCATTCAATGTGCTCCCGGTAACCTGCGCCTGTAGGAGGGAGAAGCAGTGACCTTCGTAACATTCGCCTCACTGCTGATATTTGCTAAGCAATACCTTGATTTTGCATTTGAATGACAATCCATTAAAGAAAATCATATTGCTTCAACATATCATGTGCTGTAGTCATATAATTATTCAAAATCACAACCAAATTACCAGGTTTCACTAGACAAATGATCCTATTGGCTTTTCTCATAAAAACTTTTATTTTAATATTTATAAACTTTTGAACCTACATATGAATGGCCATTTTGAATATCTATACTCAGTGCTTGAAAACTATCTTCTAATCTTTAGTCAAATCCTTTCTTTAAACATTCCGCAAGGTTGGGAGAAGAGACAGCTCAGGAGACAGAGCAAGCAATGTCCCTCCTACCTTTTCTAGAGTCTGGGTGCAGGGTGTCCTCTACCCAATATTAGCTCTGGATTCAAGAATCCTTCAGAGAAAGGATTTATTCTTTACTTACGAAAAAGACTTGGTGCTTGAAAGCATTACGGTTCCTTGCTAGCTATCCCTCTCCTCTAGCCTCTAAAGTGGTAGAAGGGTGTGAATACAATAGGAATACATGTAAATTCATGCCTGTCTCTATTACAAAGGATAGCAGGTACGGTACTACCTTTTCTATTATCATCAGTATCTTGGTGTACTTAGGTATCCTTTGCCTGAAAACACTAAAACTCATCCTCTTAACTCATGTAGACTATGGGTAACCGTAAGCTGGGAACCCGGTTTAAACTCAAGCCTTACCTTGCGATTCAACATTCCCCACATAAGGGTGTCCAGAGTCCCATTTGCAATGAGGTAGTGAATATTCACAGAACTGCACTGTCCAATTCGGTGAGCACGGTCTTCTGCTTGCTTTATATGCCCAGGGTCCCAGTACAACTCAGCAAATACAACGTGAGTGGCAGCAGTAAATGTCAAACCCTTAGCAAAATAAAGTGAAGAAACCAAGATGTAACTAAACTGAGAATATAAAATAGAGCCATGTGTAATAGTCTTTCTGAACACATTAAATGGAGAAGAGAACGCAGAAGGACTTAAAAACAGATCAGTTTTTCATACTAAGCCAAATTAAGAAAATATAATTCATGAAAGGCAGATGAAGACTGCTTACTGCAAGACAGCTGGGTGAACTACAAAACACACATTCAAAATGTATTTCCATATTTCAAAAGTCAGCTTGGTGGACACACACACACAGAATTACTTTATCATCTGATGAGGACTGGATTCACATTACCACTGTAAAATCTAATAAAATACATTATAAATGAGAAGATAATTTCTAACACATGGTATCCATAGCAACTAGGAGAAAGAAATGACATCCTCTGTTCATTTAATTCACACTGCTGTTCTATAAAGCAAGAAAATCATGTCTCCAGTCGTACTGTTCTCTTCCTGTGAAATTTCTTATGTTACATTCCAAAGGCTCTGAAGCCTACTAGCTTGTATCTCAATATATATAACACAATTTCATTTTTTATGCAATTGCACTTTACATCAGTTTGAAATAGTGCAACATTAAAACTATTAACTGTCTTGTTTTATAGATAATATATGAAATAAACAAATCTCCTCAAACTAAAAGGGAGTAAAAAATGCATGATGTTAGAGTTGGCAGGCTGAGTGAACTGCGACCCCTGCTTATGCTACTGCCACAGGCAGGTGGTCGACAGAAACACCTGCCTCCTTTGAGAGTGTCATCCAATCCATGCTGATGTTCACATGCACTGGAACTTGGAGGGAGGGACTCTTATGACTGCTGTATTGTTATTTTGACATGTGATTTTAACTTAAACTATTTTTATATCTCATAACAACATCATGCTAACCTTCATTCAACGGCGGCATTAGTTCTCAAGTTGAAAAATTCACTGAGGATCAATCACTATGGAACAGAAGTTAGAAGTAATAAAAATATGGAGAGAGTCAAACCACCACCATGCTAGCCTGTGCTGCTGTTTAGGACAGGGAATGCCACAAAATATTAGAGATGATGTCGAAAAATAAGAAGTCGTATTTAAAGAGGGACACCTTTAAGCACGTACAAAGTGTCATGTAACCATATGAAAATGAAGGGGGAGCATGCTGGCAGGCTCAGCATCAATCTAAGACACTTCTAAACTACAACGGAAGATTCACACACCCCGAGAGCAATTCTCTTTCTACTTTCCTTTCTTTCTATGAAGATACCGTGTCCACGTACATGAGTTTTGAATGATGCAAGGTCTTCAGGAATACAGCCTAGAACAGTGGTTCTCAACTTGTGGGTCGCGACCCCTTTGGGGGTCGAACGACCCTTTCACAGGGGTCGCCTAAGACCATTGGAAACACACATATAATTACACATTGTTTTTGTGATTAATCACTATGCTTTAATTATGTTCAATTTGTAACAATGAAATTGGGGGTCACTACAACATGAGGAACTGTATTAAAGGGTCGTGGCATTAGGAAGGTTGAGAACCACTGGCCTAGAATATCATGTGAGTGCGCTGTGCAATCTTAACTCAAAGTTTTTTCTCAGGCCACTCCTAAGCTATCCTGCCTGGCTCCGCCTACATTGTTTCTCCCATACTACAAGCACTCCATTTCTAATTTTAAGCTTTTTGGTGATATTTTCTATGTCTGGAATATTCTAACTTAGAAAACTCAGATTACTGGAAATTTAATCCAACATGATCATGGAAGTGTTGAGACAATCATCCTTTGGGTTAGAATTCCTAGTGAGTTCTAGAACCATCTGGGTAAATCCTCATGGAGTTTATCTATACACACATTCGTTTGCTGGGTAAAAGCAGATCTTTGGCTCTGGTTCAGATTCAAGTCCTCGGAAGATGCCAGATAGGCATACACCAGGTTGGACGCACAGCTATCCATTCAATTACTTTTCCAGATGTTAAATATCGTGGCTTAGACATTTATATTGAAGTATTTCAGAATATTATTAGAAAAAAAATCCAGAAGGCTCCCCTCTTCTACAGTGTAGCAGAGACTGCTACTGCCTTCCCCAGTACCTATTCTTGTCTTATTCCATTGCAAAGTAACACCTGACTTTTAGCACCTGGAAAAAAGGCTACTTTTCCCAGCCTGCCTCTCAGCGGCTAGTTGTGGCCATGGGACTGACCACAGGCTGGTGAGAGGTAGCATGCCTCTCTCCAGCCAGCTGTCTGGATGGCAGCTCTGCAGAAGCTCGAGCAGCCCTCCTAGGAAAGGGAGACCTGCTATGAGTGGTGAAGAAGAAAGCCTGCTAGCCTTGGACTGTCTACATGAGAGAACAAAGTATTTAAGTCTTTCTTAATAAGGGTTTCCATTTATTTGCAGGCAAACATAATTCTTAAATATATATATATATATATATATATATATATATATATATATATGTATTTCAGAGAGGAAGGGAGAGGGAGAGAGAGATAGAATCATCAATGAGGAGAGAAAATCATTGATTGGCTGCCTCCTGCCTGCCCCCCCCCCCCCAACACACACACACACACACTGGAGATCGAGCCAACAACCTGGGCATGTGCCCTGACTGGAAATCAAACCTTGACCTCCTGGTTCATAGGTTGATGCTCAACCACTGAGCCACGCCAGCCAGGTGCCAAATGTAATTCTAAGGACCAAACCAGGGGCACGCCATACAAAGTTCTCAGAAACAGAGTTCTTATTCCTCAGGCCATCTTACCTTATGGACTCGGAGGGAAATAACCAAGTAAGATAAATTCTATAAGAAAGGGATGAGAAAATTCCAGACAAATTCAAAGGAAGGAAAAACAGTCATGAAACAGTATTACAATCAAATATACTATATTCTTCTAGAAAACTCTTTCCTTGAAAATTTAGGAAGATTTCAGTCAGCGGTGTTGAGGTCTTCTATTATACTTTCCAGCACTCTCCAACATAGAATGAACATTGATCACACTAGATACCAAATATAAAGTTATCACTATAAGTAATGGCCTTTTTATGATTTCAAAGACATTTTATTATCAAGTTGAGGCCTGAAATTTCTTACCTGACCAGCAGCCTGAATGCTTAGGATAGCCACACGGGTCTCAGGATCCTTTTGAAACTGATTAACCAGATGTATTCTTTCTGAAGACGGAACACTTCCATCTATCCTAACATATCGAGTCTAGCATTAACAAAGGAAACGACAAAATTAGGAGAAGCCCGTATGTACCCATCTTATTTTATATACTTTACAGCTTATTTTTATATTCACATAATAAAATAGAAACTGGTTAAGATGACAGGTTGGTAAATATCATACAAGAAGAATCTTAACCAAATTTCTTAATAGCTTCTGATAACAATTTTTTTTATTGAGTTTTATTTTCAAGATTAAAAACAATTTATTCATTTTTAGAGAGAGGAAAGGCAAGAGGGAGAGAGAGATCAATTAGTGGCCTCCCATATGGGGATGGAACCCAAAACCTGGGTATGTGCCCTGACCGGGAATCGAACCCACCACCTTTTGGTGTATGGGACGACGCTTCAACCAACTGAGCCACACCAGCTAGGGCCTAGCAATGATATATTTTTTAATCTTTTAAGCTACTTGAGGGTAGGAGCTATGTCTAATTCATCTTTATACATCATTGCCAAGTGCAATGCCTGTACGTAACAGGAGTTCCATAAATCATGACTGAATTACTAATGTGTTCTCAGTAAAATTCCATGTAAATTAATATGCCAATTTTCAATTGAATAATGTATCAGAATAACTTTCTAGTTATAGGACCACTAACTCCAGAGTAAAAGTAAAATCAGACATGCAAGAAAGGAAATAGAGCATTCTGCCCATGTATTAGAAATTCATGAAAAGCAGTACATCTATTTCTGAAATATCCCAATATTAACTGGGAAAATATCTTTTTTAATGCACCATTTGAGTTCTCTTTTTTCACATTATTAAACTTAAAAGAAATATGCATCTCCATTGAGGTGGGGAACAAGACATGCACCCATGTTTTTAAGAAGCAGGGAAACATTAAGTGCCTAACTGAACAGTTTTGAGTTTTAAGAATGTTGTGAGTTGAGAAAAGGAAGCAATCCTGTGTTAGAACAGCTAAAAAGAACTTATTTCTCGACTTTGTAAAACAAGTATAAGCCCTGAGTTTCAAATAATCTCATATGTATGTGCACTTTTATGGAAAACATAGTCTTAAATAGTTGAGACAGAAATATTCACTTATATAAGAAGACAGTCAAGTTAATCACTAAATAGAATGTCCCTTATTAACTTTCTCTGTCTTCTCAAAACAGATATAAATTGACCAGTGATCCATTTACTATCCATTAGGGAGATTATAAAATCTTCAGAGAGTCTTTCTAAAGAAAACACATTGTTTTGAGCAGTTCACCTCCAACACCAGGATACCTACATTTTTCATTCTTAGTGATGTAAATGGGATTCTAAATCCACCAGTAAAGCAGCAGTGAGGAAAAGAAGCAGACGGCTCCTCTTGGAATAGATTCCAGTATTTTAAGGTATAATGGAATCCGAATAAGAAAATACTGTGAGTCTAATATTAAGGCCCAATCATTTCAAAGTTGTTTGTAAGGTTCACTCTCCCTCAGAAGGTGTTTTACAGTCACTATGAAGTAATCAATGAAAAAGTACCTTTCAATGTACAGCACTTTATTATCATCAATCCTTCAATGAAGGAAACACTGACATTACTTGTTGGGTAATAATGAATTAATAATGATAAATCTATACTGTACAAAGTAATAAAAATATGGCTTTATTCCTCCACTTAAAAGAATCTACCTACACAGGCGAGAAGTTCTGCTGCTATGCGTCTATCGAGCTCACAGTTTGTCAGGCTGCTTCTGAGCATCGCTAGAAGCCCTCGCACAGAAAGGGACGGCAGGTTTCAACTTTGGAAGAAAAAATGGGAGATGCTGTCACCGACAGAACAGTCAGGGAACAAGGTGGGCCTCAGAACCCTGCAGGAAGGCCAGCAGGCTTGCTGGAGCTTACCTGGTGGACTGCCTGGCCCTAAGCTATAGATTCACTTACACTAAGTCTTCGTAATCATAGTCTATAGAGTATGCTGCCTGGAGTTTGAAAGGTCTGACTATAGCTGGGCACAAAAATCAGCAGAATTCATCCTTCTTTTCCCCTCGACGTCTCCCCCTTTCCAGGGGTGCCTTTCGGGTAAACAAAAAATTTAACTTTTAACTGCCTCAATCTCAAACGGTACATCCATGAACGAAAACTAAATTCACAACATAGACTATTAAAGCAGCATACTTTAATCAATTCAGATCATTTGATTAGTGGAAAATTATGAGACTGGTATAAAAGGCAAACTTTAATAGGATACCATCAACACAATAGTAATATAATATCAGGATAATTTTTAAGAAAAATATCTAATACTAATTTATATACCATCATGTAAAACAGGCAAAAAAAACCCCTCCATTATAAGACAACTGACGCATCCTGAAAGTACTTTACAGACAAATGGTAACATACCTTGTTTTCTATGACTGCTTCTGTGCAAGCCTGGAGCATGAGTAAGTGGTGAGCGAAAACCAGAAATTTAAGCGAATCGTTCTGAAGCATCATCTTAATATAATCCTTTACAGCACCTGCCTAAATATTAAAGTTAAACCTTATTCTTATTAACGTCATAAAAATGTTTATTAAAAGTCATTTTACTTTCTTTTAATAAATCAAAAAACTCAAACATTGATACATTTCTATGAATTTCTAACTGCTTTGTGTTCTAAGTAGCATAAGGAAATAGAAGCTTACATATAATAGTGAGTGGGAGAAAAGGGACAAAAGAGGAAAAAGAATATATTCTTGTTGAGGAAAGAAGAATATAAGAATTAGCAGGAAGAAAAAGATGACAAAAGAGTTTAGGTGGAAAGTAGGCTCTGGCCAAGAAGAGGTTGGTGGTTTTTTTCTAAAGGCAATTTCAAAAAAGTTCATATACCAGACTAAGTGGAATAGAGTTAAGAAGAAAATGAAAGGTAAAAAATTAGATGAATAGCATTTTTTTTAAAAAAAAGGAAGACTAGAAAAGAATGAGAAAGCTGGGACTGAAGCTTAACGATTAAGAAAAGTTGGTTTATTCATTGTTTAAGCTAAAAAGTTAAGTAGATTTATAAATAGGGCACTTGAGGGAGAAATGGAAAATGAGAGGCTTCAGTTTGTCTTCAGGATGGAGAAGGTCACAGAAGAGGCTGGAGTAATGAGATTAAGAGTACAGAAGGGAGGTCTGAGAGAGCAGGGAGATACAAAGAAATTGGTGGGTAGAAAAGGAAAAAATTTTAAAAAGTGCAAATTGAATAGGCTTTCTTAGTTAACAGGAGGCCAAATTACCTATTAAGAGTAAGAAATCAATCTGAGATGAATCAAATAAGACTTAAATTTAAAGTGGATAGCATGAATTAAATCTAAAACACAAATATAGCCTCTTAGCTGTTAAAAACTAGTTACTTTGACATTTTGGGAAAAAACAGTAGGCAGAACACATTTAACCTCCATCCCTCTCAGAGCTATATTTAAATAATAGCAAAGTATATAGGGAGAAAGCACTGGAGAGGGATCAATAGCAATAAAACTTTGGAAGCTAAAAAATAGACAGATGCCTGGTAACTGATCAGCACCTAACAACAGTTCCTAAACTGTCAGTATGAAAAACCCAGAAGAGAAGCACCTGGCTTGCAATATTGTAATCTTAAAAAAGTTCGGGAAATGACACCTCTGGAAGGAGGAAGGGGATGTGTCTAAAACAGGAAGATTGGTTGAAAGAATGCTTAGTAGTTGATTATGCGCAACACTCATCCATATGCTGTCTCTACCATTCCATACAATAGTGACTTCCTATCCCATCCTGGCAGGAAACTAGAGATTTATTTTCTAGAGCGGGTAAAGCAAGGTATCTGGATGGAGGAATCCCACATCGACGGTAGGCTATCCTATAAAAATCCTGGGGATTAAATGAAAGTTACATAATAAATGCTGAGATCTGCTCTTCTCTCTCAATCTTCTTACCCCTCACAGGCCCATACTCTCTAGAAAGAGAACAGAATCATATAAAATGATTCTTTTCTGAGGAATCTGACCACCCAAAGAGAAAAGACTGAAGATATTGATATTGGGGGTTCCTCAGCACAACATCCCCATCAGATCATCTTTTATTTTAATCCATAGTTTACAAGCCGTATCCACAAATAGAGTTTCCAGCCATCATTTAGTGTCTTACTTGTAAATAAAAGCAAAGAACCAAGGATCAGCAGGCATTTGTAGAAAGCAACCTATATGAACAGATCAACTGTACAGAGAGAAGAAAATTAGAAGGGATTACATCTGTAAAATAAGAATAGTATGCTACAAAAAAAAGAAAAAAGAGGAAGGGAAGTATTCTTGGTAAAAAATATAATAACAGAAATAAAAAATTCACTGGTTATTAAAATAAGAAGGTCTTCCAGAAAAAATAATTTAAAATATCTAAAATATAAGAAAATGAGATGACCAGGCCATGAGGGCAATATATGAACAAAAAGTTCTAGAAAACAATGCAGAGAAAACAGAGAAAAGAAAATAATCAAAGAAATAAAAATGTTTTACAGAACTTAAGGACTTAAGTTTCCAAAATGGAACATGGCAAAGGCCTAAGAGGATTCTGCACAATGGATGGAAATGGACCCAGAGCAATGTCCATCATGAAACTTTATAATACTGGGGACAAAGAAACGATTCTATGAGCTTCCAGAAAGGAGAGAAAAAGATTTCACAAAATCAAAATAGAATAAAAATTTTGAACTGCATTGGATACTTCAATATCAATACTAAAAATTCTAAGAGAAAATGATTTCCAACTAAGAATTTATATCTAGCCAAATTAAAAAGCAGATATAAAAACAGAATAAAAGCATTTTCAAATATGTAGGGATTAAAACAATTTACCTCTAATATACAGTTTTTTAGAAGGCTACTAAAGAATGTGGTCCAGCAAAATAAGGGAGCAGACAAATGAAGAAAATAATCCTAGGTAATAAAAGGCTAATATGCAAATAGACCAAATGGTGGAACAACTGAACAACCGGTCGCTATGATGTGTGCTGACCATCAGGGGGCGCTTGCAGAACATGGCTGGCGTCGGCAGCAGGCGGCAGAGCACAGAACACGCCCGGCATCAGTCGCGGTGGGATGCTGGAGCAGGTGAGTGGGGACACCAGACCAAGGCGGGACGCTGGTCGCTGCCATTGGGGCGAGCCTCTGGTGGTTACTGAAAATTCTTTGCTCCCGCGCGCCGCAGTCCCGCCTGGCGCTCAAACCTGCTACTGGTGATGGCCCCGCTCGCACCCGCTGCTGGCGCCCGGTGCTGGCCCTGATCTCTCAGCGCTGTCAGCGGGTGCGAGTGGCGGCTGCAGGCCCCGATCGCCCCTCAGGGCTTCTCCACCCCTCTGGCTCCTGAGGAGTGATTGGGGCAGCAGCTACCACTCACACCCACTGAAGGCGCTGGCCCTGCACAGAGGATGGGCCGAGACCCGCCCCTGTGCCCGCCGCAGCCTCGTGACCCACAATTCCTTTCAAGGTGCACGAATTCATGCACTGGGCCCCTAAGTATCAAGTAAAGAGGTAATTCAGCACAGGAATAAATAGAGAAAATCCCCAGGATGAGAGGTCTGCAGCAGACTGGATGAGCAACAGTCCTGACTGGAGTGGACCAAAGGCTACAGGGCAATTTTTTTTATATAGATTAAAATTAATAGAATGCTAATGTTTAAAGATATTGAGAGGAGCCCTGGCCGGTGTGGCTCAGTTGGTTGGGTGTTGTCCCATGCACTGAAGGGTCACTGGTTCGATTCCCGCCATGACACATGCCTGGGTTTCATGCTCAGTCACCAGTTATGGGGTGCAGGAGGCAGCCAATCCATGTTTCTCTTTCACATTGATATTTCTCTCTCTCTTTCTTCCTCTCCGTTCCTCTTTCTCTAAAATCAATAAACATATATTTTTCAAAAATATTGAGAGAAAATTAAACTACCAGGGAAAAGTCTGAAGGTAAATTATTGAAAATGACATATAGAAGAAAGAAAACATACCCATAGTATATTGCACAATTCTCCTGTACATATTACAAACATGGTTCTAATAATATACATGGTGAATATTGATCAAGCCAAAATTAGTATAACTTACTATAAAATTAACAAAGTATAACTATATCCATGCATCCATGCATCCATCCATCCATGTACCCACCTACCTACCTATCACTTTGTTGGGAGAAGGGGAATTCAGAAAAGATATAGGTGTGTGGGAGGGCAGAGGGGTGAAGGAGCTAAAATTTTATCTCCCACATTGGGAAGCCAAATGGTGACAGCTAAAATTATAAACAAACTGTAATACAAACCAAGAAGCAAGATAAACATGTAGCTGAGGGATCTGAGATAAATACTAAAAAGATCAGCTACAAGAAAAGGAAGCGGTTGCCTTTGGGAAATAAGGTTAGGGAACTGTTATATTTTGAAATGGCTATTTCTCCTCATTCAACTATGACCATATGTGGCTTTGGTAGTAGTAAAAAAAAAAATGAAAACAGGGGCATTTCAAAATTGAAAAGTACCCATTGAAAGCTGATTTGAAAGCCCATTTTTGTATGTCTAAATTTTCTAAACAATAGTTATTCATCACACAATGAGACTGGAAGCTGTTAAGAACTTTAGCCTTGTATATCAGTGCCTCAGAAAGTGGAAATGAAGCCCTCTCAAAATAAGGAGCTATAAATTCCAGATATGTTGCCATGGTAACTGAACCACTTTAATAAACTTCATGTTTGCCTAAAGAGCTATATTTACCATGATAAGCCTTTCAAAAAGTACATGACAAGTTGGAGTATTTTTAAGGTACATTCATTTCCCATCCACTGCAGACTAATCACTGTACCCCAGCATCAGACGCAGTCCGTGCCTCTTCATAAGAAACCATTTCAACCAGAAACTGCTGATGCCAACGCACAAGCCTCCTACTCCTGACTCCTTCCAATCCACTGGTTACTATTAATTTTATAAAGTTCAATCATATTATGGGCTAAACAGTCTCTTGGGACTAAATTTAGTAACTTAATCATCTTTGTGATATTGCTTCCTAGGAGAAAATGCATTTGGAGAACCAAAATAACTATGTACAAACATACTTTAGGATTATTTTAGGGTCATAGGTTGGGATTACATAGATTTGCATCCTAAAACATACTATACATGCATTTTAACTATTCTGATTTTATTCTTTTTTTTTTTATTCTCACCTGAGGATACTTTTTCCATTGACTTTTAGAGTGGAAGGGAGAGAGGGACAGAGAGAAACACCTATGTGAGAGAGACACATCGATTTGTTGCCTCCCACATGCCCCCGACCAGGGTGGGAGCCTGCAACCAAGACATGTGCCCCTGACAGGAATCGAACCCAGGACCCTTCAGTCCACAGGCCGACGCTCTATCCACTGAACCAAACCAGCTAGGGCCTGATTTTATTCAGATTAAAACTATCACTTCATTGTCATGTTTTAGGTCATTTGAGCAGAAACTTGCTTTCAAACTATCTTAAGTGCACATTAAATGGAATGGCAGGTTCTA